CCATCTGAACGAAAGCCTGCTGTTTTATCGGGCTTTCTACCCCATCAGTCTCATGCCTGGGACTGAACCTGGCTTTCCTGCCATGGGTGCCATATACAACTTGGCTGTTTAGCTCCATCGGTTTTATTCCCGGGCTTCACTCCACTTTCTTGAGGCACCCATGATTTCAGATCTGTCTCCCCAAGCTTAAATACAATATCCCAGTTCTACTTGGTGATCTGAATACCAATGGCTATTTTGGAAGTATCAACAGTCAGACGACCTAGATCTGAATCTTGGTTCTGCGACTTGTCAAATGGTGAAAGACAACTTAACCTTTCTAAACTCATCTGTAAAACAGGTTGTATAATACCCACTCTCCAGAGTTTCTGTGAAGATTAGTCGATATGTACATTCGAAAGTGCCTGCATGTTTTCCAAATGTCAATTTTTCGCATTCTTAACATCAAACATTCTTGTGGACAGTGTTGAAAATTTTTAGTGTTAGATTTCTTCAGTCATAGATGTATTGGGAACAGCTAGCATGTTCCACATCCATAAGGAATTCCTGTTCACATTGAAAAAAACTAGACATGCAGTCATGATTCAGATCCTGTATATATGTGTGTGTGTATGGTAGAACTCAACATGATATAACACCATCCTTTAGAGAGGCATTCTGAGATGCGCCGTAGAAGGGGCTGTATGCCATCTTAATGTCATCTTCAGATTTTTAGGAAGAGCGAAGGTCCTTGATCTATTACCGATGTCATTTTTCCCCTTTGGTTTCTAACAGTCCTTAAGCAATGGAGGCATCTCATCCTAATTCAATGACCAAATAAAACTTCATTTCCATTATGACTACATCAGAATTTTAGCATTATTTTTGACTTTTTCCCAATCTCTCTCTGTTTTGAGCTATACTTTTAGTTTATACCACTTTTTGAACTCTACACGCCTACAGTCCATTGCTGGAAGTAACATTCTCTTTCTTGGTAAATATAATTTTAATGATTCAAAGACTACCTTCACGACCATCCATTACCAAAAGTTGATTAATAAGACCATATGAATCATATCCACTCATATAACATGATATATAGTGATCATGTTCTCTTGTAATTCCAGTCTGAGAAGATTCATCATTATTTGAGAATGCCTCCTGACTCCTATTCCAAGCTATTTTAATATTTTAAATGCCTTTGATATTCTTTCATATATGTTTCCTACATTAGCAATTAAGTCTCTCTGTGGCTCTATTCACGTGAAAGTCAGTTTGTCTAGAAATGCTTATGGTAATTCCTGACCTGGAAAGACAGATAGTCAGCAGTAGTCTTAACACGGGGATTGAAGCTGGATTCGTGTACACAATGAATAAGTGCAGTGCAGCTGTTGCGTTTGTTCTTGCCATCTTAACAATCAGTGCTGCTGGCTATGTGGCCAGCTCTTTTTGTGGGGATGTCACTGCAGGCTCTTCTGGTCGTCTTAGGTAGCTTCTGCCTGAAGGAAGGTTATGAGTCTGAAGGGGGTGAACACTTGGTGAGTCAGAAATAGAAGGATCCCTAGTTATTAGCATGCTTTCCATGTGCTACTTCTGACTGACACTAAAAAGTACAGGGGTCTGTTCTAATTCAGAACTAGTTAGTGGGTCGGGCTGTGTCACCGATGAACTGGCAGCATTTCCTGGCAAAGCAAATAGCCTGCGGAGCACAGATTTATGAGGCACTGGCCAAGACAGAAGGAAGAAGAGTGAGCGTAATAGCCCTCAATGTGCAGCAAACTGCTATTGGTATCAGAGGGTGGAGGACACAGGGTCCCCAGTCATAGAAGGATCTTGCAACCATATTTGCTATGATACAGTTGCAATGAAGAAAAATGACTGGAGTTTTTGGAGTAAGCACCACGTGCTACTGATCTATGCTGAAGAAAGGCATGTCACATGTAGCTCCTAGGCCAATAGAATTTAGTTCTCTCTTTGGGGAGAAAAGGGCCTTAAGACGATAGAAGTATGATTCTTTTTACAGAAATATAAATGGAGACAACATCTTAGAATAAATCGGTTTCATAAAGAAAAAAAGTGTCATCAGTTCAAGAGTTCTTTTATTATTTGTTTCTAGTTGAGAAGTGAAATCACATAGGGTCATGCATGCTGGCACTTCTAGGTGTGGCTCAAATGTCCTATATCCACCAACTAAGGGTAGATGCTCATATGGACAAGATCCGCACTGTGATGAAATGCCCTTTTGTTGTAAACACCTGTTTATGTGATGAAATCCTCCCTTAACTTTGACCTTACCAGGGTGAAAGGGATCAAAGAGATCATGGGATGCCCAGACCGGTCCCTGGCCATGAAGCATAGAACTCATCTTTGTGACACTTGATGAATATTTTTAGAATGGATTTGAATAACTGGGAAACCCCTTCTCACACCCCAGAGGGCTGCAGGACAATCACAAAAGTACACTATCTAGAAATATGCACCATCACGGAAGCCACTCTCCTTCTATGTTACCTTTGCCACGGTCCTTCCTGCCATCTACCAGGCAAAGGGTGGGTTCTTAAGTGCTGTTTGACCAGTCGGTACTTCTAAAACTACCAACTTTAGAAAAAAGTAGCCTTTGGACTTTCCCAGTAATCCCAGAAAGGCAGTTTCCCCCATCGGGAAGAAAACTCCCTCTGGGAAGATACGTTTCTTTTTTATTGGCCATAATCGCCTGCCTGGCTGATCCGAGTAGCAGGGGTTGGAGCACTAATATGCCACCTGGTGAGATGTGCACAGAACTGCTGACCAGAGGCCAGCACACCAGAGCGTGGGTGTGCCACGTGACCCAGCCACAGCTGTGGCTTTGCCTTCAGGCACGTGGACGGGTAGGCAATGGGAAGTGCACACGCCAGGAAGACCGCCCTAAGGAACTTAAGCAGACAGTGCCATGGAGCGTCGGAATACACTTCCTTGAGATTTTCTCTACAGGATCTAGCCAGTTGAAGACCCTGGTTAATTTCTTCTCAAGTCTGTAGCAGCAAAACAACCTTGGTTTTGGTAGATGGAGCACAGTGGGGACTTAGTAGTCTAGGGAGTTGCTGAGTCTTCTGGAGAGTGTCTGTAACGTAGATGTGGGCAAATTGATTTGAGCCATAATGCTGAAGCTTGCAGGGCAAAGCTGCTGTAGCTTTTATAAACAGCATATATACTGATTAGTTAAAAACAAAGTTGGTGATGTGATGCAGAAAATGTGCAATAGTCGCTGTGGGAATTGAGCATCCATGTGGACAAGTTTGAAATAGAAGGAAGAAGAGTAAAAGCTGTCGCATCTCTGATATTCTATGCCCTATTTTCTTAAGTCAGAGTTGGAGGTCATTAAATTTATTGACAATGTTGAAGTTTGTTCACTGTTTATTCAACTTAAAATTTATTAATTTGATTAAAGCTTGCATTTGGGGTAACCCAAATTCAGCTATTAATGAAATATAAGTAATTCCCAGAGCACTCAAGTATGACTGCTTATTTTAATCTGCATTTAACTGCAGTATGTTTTATCTGAATTCAGGTGCAAGCCACATAGCATAAGGCAAAGGGGTTCAGCTTAAACTTTCAGAACACATCATTGATTAGCATATGCATGACTAAAAATATTTAATACAAAAAGTCCAACATATTAAAGGGGAAAAACCCTCATGGCATTCAGACTACGAGTTTGCACAGCCCATGTTGTAGTTGGTGTGTCTCTTTCACAATAAACTCGGAGTTGTTAGGGAGAAGTTAGCATTGGTTGGCACCCTCCTGGAGCAGACTTTATATTTAGAGGGTGACTTGAAAAGGCCCCTGACGGGGCTAACCAATGCCTGTGTGGGGGGACATCCCTGCACTCCACTGACCTGTGTCCCAAAATAGCCGAGGACGCTACCATCAAGTGCTAGGTAGGATTCAAATACCAGAGAAAATACGTCCACTTGGCCATCTATGGGGAATTTAAGACGATTCAATTTATTAGGCTTGGAATGAGCAGTGTCTGGAACACCACGCAGGAGAATCGTAGAGAGAGAGAAGAGTCCTGTAAGGTGAGTTAGGAAAAACGAGACAGGCCTGCAGTCAGGCCTGAGTGAGCAGAAAAGGCTCTGATGGGCAGAGGCCAAAGGGGCACCCAGTGGACTGCGGGTTCGGAAAAAGGGAGAGGCAGCAGCCAGGGTGACCTGCAGTGGTGAAGGTGGAGCCCAGCCTTGCAAGCCCGGCCTGCCCACCCGAGTCGGGTGGAAATGTTCCCGCCCACCTGAGAGGGCCTAAAGAGTCAAGTGTGACAGAGGCCTTTGCGCTCAGGGTGAATCAGCTACGCTTGAATCCTGCTTTGAGGCCCAGAGAGGTTCAAGGACTTTCCCTGACACGTCACTAAAATGGGGCAGAGATGCGATTCACCTCTCAGCGCTGTCCTCAAAACCATGCTGCTGTCTCTTTCTAGGTTCAGAAACCTGTCATCTGCCTGGGAGGTGCCTGGTAATAGTGAAGTGCTGTTCGTGCCCAACTCAGAACTCTCCTGTCACCGTTGTAGGGTCAACTTTCCTGGGCATCATTCCAAAATCTGGCGTCCCTGGACATACTCTTGCTCACCTAGAAGCCATCATCTGGGGCCTCTGGGCTTTTAGTAGAATCTACGTTGTGCTTTTAGTAGAATCCGTATAATTACTTTCCTTTGGCTCTTTTTTAGCTTTAATAGCTCAGGCTCCACTGCTGTGGTGTGTTTAATTTTCGAAAAGACAAAGTGGTGCTCCAGTAGGGAGTGTGGCTGTCCAAGCTCAGTCTGCTGTGTAGCACAAATAGTCCCATAAGAACAGTCTACAACCCGACATGCCACCCTTCCTTCCCCCAAATGACTAATGTAAGGAAAAGACGATTGCCCCGTCGTCATGCTATATGCCAGCAACAGCGTGGTCCAGTTGTCTGTGGGTCGCCATGACAACCACATAGAAGATGAGCACAGAACTGGTGTTCATGGTGCCTATTTACCTAGAGTTCACTTTGTCTTCTAGGCTCTTCAATGGCCAACAAGGAATCGTCATCCAGAACTTCAGCACGAGATCCATTCTCACTGTCACCAACGTGACAAAGGAGCACTTTGGCAACTATACCTGCGTGGCTGCCAACAAGCTGGGCACGACCAATGCGAGCCTGCCTCTTAACCGTAAGTAGCAAGCGGTGCCAAAGGCTTCCGGGGCTTCTGGGCTCCACCATCAGTAGAGGCAGACCCTGAGGATGGAGTGTGTTCATTTCAAAACTCAGTCGGGTGCCACACACTCCTCTCCCAGAGGAAACTGACCCCAGGTTACATGAATGTTCAAGAATTTGTAAACCCTGTGAAAGTCTGCATGTCTAGAGAAAAATATCCTAGAGTTGAGAAAAGGAAAAAAAAAAAAAAGACATACATGGGAGGGCTAACCAAAAAATATCTTTTGGCTAATGACAGTTGATTTTGGAGACTTTTTTATTTGTTTTGACTTTTTAAAGGGTTATATTATCTTGAAGCACAGGTTAATATGGCCTAAATTTACTCTTGGTTGGTTTCCTTTAGACATTCATCTTGGGATAGCCAGAGTCTCACATGCCATGAATAAAATTAAATATGAAGTAAATGATTATGAACAAAATGTTTTAACCACATAGATAACATTTTGACTCAAAACGATATTTTGAGGTACACCTTCAATTAATACTGCAAGACTAGAAATTAACAAGGAAGCACAAACACAAGGAGCAGATAAAGGAATAGAAACCTACACTAATGGTTCCTCTTTTAATTAATTTTAGAAGCTGAGTAGTCAACACATTTTTACAGCCATAAAGTATTTCTAATTTTGAACTTATGCGCTTCTCAAAGTATTCAAAGAAGACTACAAAGAGTACACTATCGTTTCAGTTTCACAAAGTTACCTGGATTATTCTTTTGTATTTAACATTTTTATAGTCACTGGACATATGTATATTCATATTATGAGCCAGTGAAAGTAAATGATCCCCGAAAAAATGCACATGTTGTGTAACTTGTCACAGACATGATTATCTCCATTTTGTAGAAATGGGGCTAGGATAGATGATGGTCCTACTACTTAAAATATACTAAAGTTTACATGCTTTATGAGCTTCAAGAGTCGCCAATATTAAATACAATATATCCACTTGTATGCCAACTTTTATTATTCCAGTTTAATATTTCTTAGTACTCAGCTTTGAAAGGACAACATTGTAGCCCTTGCTTTGCTAAACTCTGCTTTCTCCACGTGACTCTTGGAGCTATGGCCACTATGTTTTCTTAGCTTTGAACCTCTCCCCTACCTTGGGAAAGTGAATCGCTCTCTCTCTCTCTCTCTCTCCTTCTCTCTCTCTCGATTTACTTTCTAAATAAACTTTGCTCAAAAAAAAAAAGAAAGGAAAACATTACTTGCCATGCAATGGCCATAGCATAATATGCTTGTTCAAGTTTCTTCCATAAGGATGATTTATTTAGTGTAATTATGAATAATATAAACCATTGAAAATATTAGGGAGCAATATGAATTCCAATTTAATGTAAATATTGATACTTCTGTGGTATATTATTAATATTTTAAATGGCTTACATATTCAAGAACTTGAAAGAATAAATGAATTACTAAGGCAAAGTAAAGAAAAATGTAAGGCTTAATAACATTAACTTGCGCTATTCAAATTTCTAAATTACATTCTGATTTTAAAAACTGTAGCATGTGACAAATTAGGAGCAAATGACACTTATTTAAATGCTTTTTTTCCTCTGGCAACCTTAACACAATCGTCTGGATATAACGCACTGCTGAAAAGGCTTCCAAACGTAAAATCTTCAGAATGAACTCACATGATCTCTCTCTCTGCCGTTGACTTGCTATATGTGCAGTGCTACTAAATACTAGTTCAATTTGGTTAATTTGTTATAAAGGCAAAATGTGCAAATCTTGTCTCTATGGACAGAGCCCTGAGAGCTTGAAGAAATATCTGTATATTCAGAATTCTTGTATGACCTCATCTGAAGCTCTTATTGCCCTAAGCATTTCTACTTTGCACTATAATTATTTTTATATATTTTTTCATCTTTCCACCAAATTATAAGTTCTTTAAGAAGACAGGAGCAATGTCTGATTAGTTATTTTATCTCCCATATTACCAAGCATATGGGAGATATGCTATTTAATAGGCAATTAGCAAATCTTTTGTGAACAAATGAATTAAACGTGGGGCAAGTGAATGAATAGATTAATTAATATATGATTAGGTGATCTACATTGTCGTTGTAGAATGTGTACTTGTAACCTCTAGAGATACAAAGCAAAGGCACAAGGTAATAACAAACAACACTTATTGCTAGCTTTCTCCAGACTAGACTTTTCTAGTTTATTATATGAATTGGTTTATTTAATATTTGCACAACCCAAAGAGGTAGACTCTTCAATTCCTCTCTTACAGATAAGGAAACTTAGAGGGAGTCTATAGATGTGGCAAAAGTGAACGGTTAGTAAGTGACAAAGCAAAGAGAGCCTTTGGAGTCCAGAGCCTTTACTATCACACTTCCCTTTCTTCCTCACTAGAATCATAAAGCCATCAGTAGAGTGAAAGAGAGTTTGTATCACTTGAAGCATATACTCTTTGAAAGATACATCTCTGTTTCTTCAATAAGTAGTTGTACTGTAATTTATGAAATGCTGTTAAAAAATATTTAGGTACAGACAACAACAAACCAGATATCAAATGTGAATATGTAGAAGATGAATGGCGTTGTCTAATCAAAAAGCGAGATGTAAAAATGAGACTGGAGGACATCTAAATACACATTTTTATGGGATTCTAAAATCTCTTTGGAATAGTGCCATGATCATAGGCGTTGTGACTCTGAAAACTATGTGTGGAAAAAGGCAGTTTTCTTAAAGTTTATGAGACACTAGCTGGAGGGAAGGGATGGCAGGATGTCCCTCAGGAAGAACGCATGCCACATTTTCACGGCCTCTGAGTGGGTGGAAGCTCAGCCTCAAAAATGACCCAAGGCTATAAGCTGATCTCAAGTTGACCTGTGACCTGCTGAAGAAGTTTTTATAATCTGCTGCTGGAGAGCAGCCTTTCCTGTGGGTAAGGGAATCTGTCAAGCCAACTCAGCTCTTTATTCAGGAGGTAAGAAGGTAGACCCCGAAGCATTGGCCACCTGCATGCATGTTCGTGCTTCCATGATTTGTATCCTCGAAGAGCTAAACTCAGAGACAGGTGGATTGGAAGTGCGAGTTACCTGGAATAATGCTAGAAAACAGTGAACACTCCAGCAGGTGGATAATCATGTTCTAACAGGCTTCAGCCACTGGGAGTCAGTGACGTGACCTAGGATAAACCCTGAGACCATCATAGTCGACTTCTGGTTTGTGATGACTTACATTTTCCAGATCCCCAAAACGATAAAGGGCAAACTGTAGTTTAGAGCTTTGTCATGAGATGATCAAAAAGCAAATATAGCTCTTTGTGTATGTGAGTAGGGGGGGAGCACATGTGTGGACGTGTGTATGTGCATGTGTGGATGCATGCACATGTGCACATGTGTGTATACCTGTGGATGCATGTGAGGACACATATGTGTGCGTTTTGTGTGCATATGCGTGGATGTGTGTACCTGTGTGAATGTGTGTGTGTGTGTCTCCATTAATGCAAGTCAAGTAGGGCTTGGTTGGGATCCGAGTTTCAGAACATATCAGGGGTGTGTGTTTGTGTATGTTACCTGTGTCTCACACCCCCTGATAACTCACTTCTAAGATGGCGCAGTAGCAGCTCTCCCCTCGCAGGATGGGAGTTGGGCGGGCTGACGCCTGCGACACCCAGGTCGCTCAGCCTGGAAGTGTCAGCTTTCGACACAGGTCAGACATTGCTATTATATCATCTCGTCCCTCAAGCACACGCAACTGAATTCATCTGAAAGAAAAGTATATCGATGGCTGGCTTTATTTGAGGACTGACTGCCCAGTTCTCTACTGAGGCTTACAGAGCAAACAGCCCTTAGCAAGCCAGGCGGAGGTCAAGCAAGCTTAGAAGGATGTCCCAAACGTAGCTCATCATTGAACCTGATCCCCTGCTCAGGGAGTGACCCAGAACTTGCAGCACTAATTCCAGATTAAATGTGATGCCTGCAGCATGGAAGTCCGGACATCTAGGAGATTCGAAGAGTAAAGGCAGGGCCGATAGAATAGTTCTGTTTTGAGGCTCAGCTGATGCGTTCAGCAGCAGTTCTCCTTGCTCAGATGTGCACCTTGACTGCCTGCAAGGTGCAAAGCATGGCGCTCCGTGTTGGAAGGGGAGGAGTTAGGAGACCTGGAGCCCCATCGAGGCGTTCTCAGATGAGGGAGAAGAGAGAGGAAGAAAGTAGGGGGTGAGTGGGGAGGGGAAGACACTCCCAACCCAGGCCTAACCCCAAAGGCCCTGGCAGGATGGCCTTCCGGGGGAGCTCACGGCACTATTTGAGCCACATCTGAGGCGCAACTCAAAGCTCCATCTTAGCCATGGCTGCCTCGTTTTCCGAGGCAGGACTGGGCAGGAGTTCCTCTGACAAGAATCAGGAGCGCAAGGTCCAGTGGCACGAGTGAGAGAACGGCCGATTGTCTCAACGACTTGGAGAAGTCACAGAGGAGGTGCCCCTTGAGCTCAAGGAGACAGGGTGGAGCCTGGTGCAGGAGGGGAGAATCGAGACGCAGCTGGAGAGGGAGCAGCACTCCAGTGTACAGCGGCTCAGCCAAGACATGGCAGTGTGGAACGACTGATAGACTTGAGGGCACCGTGGTGTTTTCAGTGCGGGCGCGTACCAGGCAGGAGAGGGTGAGAGTTGAGAGACGCAGGTGAGCAAGCAGCCTGAGAGGGGCTCTGCGCCTCATCCTGGGGCCGGCGTGCCCCTGAGGGTTTTAGCCAAGGAGTGGCAGCAGCAGATTTGGTTTCCAGAAGACTCTTGGGCAATGTGGAGGGCTCAACCGACATCCTAAGCTTCCCATAAGAGGGCGGAAACACATGATTTCACCAAAAAGAAGAGCCGTGAGAGAGTCGAGAGATGATCAGGCGACAGGAGGCAGTGTCCAACTCGGGAGAAAATCAGAAGGGAGTTGCAGGAATGCAGATAACCCCCAATGTTTAGTCTGGTTGACATGAACCAGA